GGTGGACATATGATAATTTGTTGAAAATAATATCTAGTAGAAATCGCTAAAAATTAAAAGAAAAACTGTAAGTGAAGCCACTGCAAAGAAAATGCTTAAATTATTTATTCAAGAACTTATCCCGAAGTGCGTGTGATAATTGTCAATAACTGATTTAACAACACAACAACTTAACACAAGTTATGTGCGGTGACTTATCTCAAAGAAAAAATATATGCAAAATGTGAACTTTAGTCAGTTTAATTTAAACGCGACATTAAATAGTAAAGTTAAAAGAAAAAACTCGAGTTTATGGGTTTTTATACTTGTTCTTAAGTTGACTTGCTTTAAGGGAGAAAAACATGTTCAATATCCGGGAATTTTTTCAATTTTTTTTTAAATCAATTTTTAATGCTGTACAAAAAGCTCACAGCGAATCAGCCAGGGCTTTCTCAGAAGAACCGCCCTTGACAAAATTACCATTTTCTCATAGGTTTAGAGTTAACGAGCATTGAATATTGGGAAATTCGAAGCAAAGGAAATCATTTTGTGTGGTTCCAATCTTTTCCTCGTAACTCCGTTAATTATCTGCATATTTGTTAAATTAAGGCTCGGTTTCGTGGAGAAATATGTATGCTAAAATATGGTTCCCGAATTTTGCAAATCCCACGGAAAACAAGGGAATTTAACGTGTTTGATTGTACAAATTTTGAAAATTTGTTTAATTTCTGACGATAACTGTTTCCGCTGTTTATGCTTCGAGTAAATGCTTTGAAATTTTAATCGTCGTTCAAAAGTTCTAAGGCGACTAGCTGAAAAGAAGAGAAACACTATTTTGAAAAAATTGTCTTTAAATCATCTTTTTCTAATGTTGCTGGAAAGCCTTACAAATTGTTAAACAGAGTTTTCTCACAAGAAACTGCCGTTCATAAAATTTCCAATTTCTCATAGTTTTATAGTAAACGAGCTTTGAATGTTGAAAGTTCAAAGGCAATGGTGATCACTGCGGGTTTCCAATCTTTTGATCGCAACTCCGTTACTTATCCCAGCTTGTGTTAAATTAAGCTTTGGGTGAGTAGAAAAATCAGTACGCTAAAAGATGGCTTTTGAAATTGATAAATCTACCGGTAAACAATTTACTATGATACATCAACTATGCGCTTTTTATTGTTAAAATTTTCCAAATTTCCTTCATTTGCTTGCGTTAAATGTTCCTGCTGGTAAAGGCTTCTAAATCCTAATCTCGTGGTTTTAAAGGTTACTTGCTTTAAAGGAGAAAACGCGATTTTGGGAATTCTGATCATTTTTTGAAATTTTTCTTTAAACGTTTTTTTCGATGTTGCTCTAAAGACTCACAAACTCTCATCCAAGATTTTCAGACGAAAAACCGCTCTTGCTAAAATAATTAATTTCTCATAGTTTTCAAGTAAACAAGTAAAAAAAAAATCTTTCGATGTTTGAATGTGAAGTGGGAGCTTGAATTTTTTTGTGCTTTTAACTTTTGCTGCTTTCAACTTTTCCTTGTTGCTCTATTATTCATCTGAATTTCTATGTCAGTTAAAGCTGAAAAAGATATAAATATTGGCATCTTAATATATGGCTAGCGAAATTTGTAAAACAGCAGGAAAACAAGGGAATTTATGCGCTTTTGATTGTTGAAACTTTCAACATTCGATTGGTTTTTGACGCTAAGTGTTTATGCTTCCAAATCCTAAATTCATTGTTCGAAAGTCGACTTGGTCTAAAGAGAAAAAACCCAATTTAGCAACTCTGAGGAATTATGGAACTTTCTGCTTCAAAGTTCTTTTTTAAACGAATCACCACTTCGACCGTTACTTCATCGCTCTGGATAATATTCACATCAGATGTGTTCAAAATGTCAAGAAACAATGCCCAATGGTCCACTTCTTCTCAGGCCGGAAAACTTTTCAACCGATATTGACTACTTCTTCATCTCAATCAACTGAACTCACTAGAAAAAATGGTGGCAGCAGATCCCTTGATTTCTCTATTGCATTGAATTGACACAGATGATTGATTGGGGATGCAGACTGATTGTGATTTCGACGCAAATTTGAGTTGTTGCTGGAACTCAAGAGCATTTTGTTTGAAAAATCGTTCAGGAATCGTCCAAAATGATCTAGATAATCTGGTCGCACCTAAACTCATAAACAAATCGGACACATCGTTTAGTTTATTGTCAATGTGGGACTATTCGAGTTTCCTGATAGCCCTACCAACCGGAAATCATGGAGGGCCATTACCATCCCTTTAATATGCAATAAACTCATTAGCAACGACTCGTGACGCTCGTCAAACATGCAACTTGTACACGCGACGTCGCCGTCTCAAATTCGACGGCCACTTGTTGGCTGAGGAAATCGGTCAATATTTTCAGGCTAATCTATTTCAGAAGCACTTGATCTTTAAAAGCAAGTGCCTCCTTCATTTACAATCGACTTTGGCACGAGATGAATAACGTTCGAGCTCAGCCAGCTCGTTTAATTGGAGACGTGGATTATCAATTTACAAGGCACCGGATCGGGGTTCGAAAGGTGTTCAGATAATCAATAGGTAATTTTTGGTAAATTAATTTTCCCTTTAGTTGGGCGGCTTTTTATCACCAGGGTGGACCCTTTGAATCTCAATGTTATTAAGCGTGAGGCGGACATTCGACGTTTCGATTTCCCCACACATACACAATAATAAGTGATCACATCCAACAAATAATATATAAACTCAGACTATTTTAAAATGTTTTACATGGTTTCTTCAAAACTGACGCAAAAATCTTCAAATAATTTATCGAAGCAATTCGCTTGAGTAGTAGTAGGATGCTTCATTGTAGCGCGCAATTGTATTTGATAGATATGTTTAGTACGCATGTAATTATTGCCCTTCTAAGCCCCCAACTATCCTGAAATTAATTGTTGATTTTCTCCCACAAACAACGTAATTTATGCTCAAGGCTCAGATGCGGCACATTCTGAGTACTGTCGGATTCAAATGCCGCTTTTGAGAGCATATCCAGCTTTCCAATTTAAGCCGCAACACTGCTCAATTAAAATTAACGCTTCGTTCGCTGTTCAATTAGAAGTTGTGATAACAGGGTTGGGCGAATGTCCTTAATAGTTTTAATCAACGAACTTACGTGATTACTTAAACTGTCCGAGGGATACGTGACCGGTATTGAAAGACTTAACTAAAATTGAAAATGATACAAGTTATTAAGTAACGTGGATTAAAGGGCCGAGAATGAACAAGTTGGTTTTACATGTGCTAACAGTTCCTGCTGGAAATGGCTGAAGTTTTCCTCAACGAAAATCTTTAATTAATATTTTTCCAAAGTGTATTTTTGGTTTGCTCCAGGATGTACGAATTAGAATGCCGAAAAGCAAAAATAGAGAATTTTGGCAAATAATCTTAATCAATTCCGCCAATTAAAAGTCAGATTACTATTTTGCATTATTATTTGTAAATAATCTCCAATGTTAAGGCAACTATTTGGGAACATTGGGAACATAAGTTTGTCTCCATTTTTAAAGCAAGTAGATTTAGATACGTTTCTGTGTGTTGCAAAAAGCATTATATTCTAGACGCAAAGTATATGAGTAGAAATATCCATTTTAACTAATCGGGGAACGTTCTCAACATGAAACTATAACAGCACTTGCTGGTTTGTAGAAATAATCGCTAGGAAAACTTCTCGAACCATGAAGAATTCGAGAGGACGATATCGTCTTAATAAGAAACGACATACAGGAACTGGGTTGATAAATTAAAACATCGTAATGATGCCTTGAAGAATGTCAGGTTGAAAGGAAACAGGTTAAAAACACAAATAATTGGCAACACCAATACCTAGATGATACAAAAAGACAAGAAAAATCTAAAGGTAGAAATAACTCAAAGAATAAAAGACGAGTTTAACCGGGCTTCGGGAAGATGAAATACACATTGAAAAACCACCATATCCTTGTAAATTGTTAGAAAAAGGCTTGTGGCACTTGCCCCTTGCCAGTAGCGGCAATGGGTTTGGAAACAATTAAGCTAAGAAAAATTACCGCCAAAAACATATAGATGATGCACACAGCGATGGAACGGACAGAGACGACAAAAAAATCACTGATGAAGAAACTCCAGAAGAAACCAAAGTTATGGATACAATAAAAAGACAAACTCAATCCAGATGGACGTCTAAGTAAGAAGATGCCTGGATGTTAAACAAAAGGCATAAAAAAGGAATATGAAAAAGGCCCTAAACCAGGAGTGGATAACAGATAATGGCTGAGGAAAACCAAGAATACAAAAACTTACTATTATTTGACAAAAGTTTGAAACTATTTTGCTAATCCAACAAAACACATTTTGCTAAATCCCATCTCATTTTGAATGTCACCATTCCACAATGCCACCATTTCTATACAGGGTGTCCCGAAATGAATGTAATGAAAATATAATTTGATTTCTATATTCACACGGATTGTTAAAGTATACAATTCCTTCATCTTCTATATCTTATCAATATTGCATGCAATGCAAATTTAGGTATCAGCTTTGTACAGTAATTAACCAGCATTTAAAATCAGTCTAGTCCTGTCCAAAGCTTTTATCGCTTTCAAATAATATTAAATATTATAAATCAACTGAAATAACTTAAATTCTAACAACTGTTTTTTCACTTCAAGAATGACTACAAAAATGAAAAACTCTTGTTGTGTTACACAACTCCTGTTCCAACCCAAATCCGTGTGCCCTAAATCTCCTAACAAAATCAATGTTATTGACACCGGCCGGAACATTATGGTAAATCTTGGCGTGCTGAGATACCGCAAGAAGTAGCATAAAACAATTAGCTTTCTGTGTTAAGTGTCAACGCTTCTTTAATAGGACCTACAAAGGCAGGCAAACTTGTTGAGTATAATTTATTCACTTCTGGGTTGACGCCATTGCTGAAGACTTTTTTTAGTTAAGGGGTAAATGGCATACCTACTTAACAATTTTTGCAAATGTCTACCTACCTCGTATTTCGATGCCATTTCTTGATAACTTTATGTAGAATTTCGTTGCAAAATGGTTTCAACCAAAAACACATTTCGCAATTCCTTCTAATGTTTACTGACCAAATTCGAGATGTTTTGTTAAAAGCAAATGAGAGCAAAATGAGCTGCCTTCCCTGCTGTTTGAAGATACACAGTCTCCCAGCTAATATCAATGGAAATAATTTAGCTACATGATTTTAAGTTTGGGACAAGATTTCTACCTAAACTCTCACACTACAGCATGAAACAAGTTGTCCGTTCTATGGGCATTATTTTCCACGCCAAATCGCCGATACGTATGTTTGTTTCATGTTGGCAAAAGACTCTTCATGAAGTGTGCAATTGAGCCGAAAGCATCAACAGCACAATATCTAACTCTCAATTTAGATCTAACATTCAAGTGCTGATTTTCATGCATAAATCCGCTCAAAGTGCTTGTGGGGTTTCAGAAATGTGAGTTTTAAACTTAATTTCGGGCAGCTTAATTAAAGCAATTAATTATAGCAGGAAGGAGCGTTATGGCACTATTCAATGTTGCCTTTTCACTTTTAGGATTTTGTTGGCGATTTGTTTTATGAGCTCGCTGTGGACTTTTGCTTATTCAGCAAGGGTGATACCGACCTCTTCCTGCAAATGTTGGCAGGATTATCAAGCGGAAATTGGAGAGTCAGGACTTCAGTGTGTGGCTTTAGGTAAATTTACTTTATTATTATAATTAGTCAGCCTGGGTGGTTTTAGACAGATCTTGCGACCGTTTGTCGTTGGGTGAAAATGTTATTTAATGATGCAGGTTGGACTTTCAATGTTGCTTAAAAAAATCGTATCGTTTTCTGAACATTTAGCCGCTTTATCAAAGTTTTGGGTTCGCTTTTTGCTTGTATTATGCACGTTTTTTCGGAATTCGTGTGGACGCATTGATTGGAAGCTTTGACCAGAATTTGTGTAAATGATCCCAATATTTAAAGTTTTAGTTTGAACATTTTTTTAAATTAATTATTATTCTCTCAAATATGGACAAAATGTGCAACAAATGACGAGTTTAGGCAATTTATAAAGCGAAATATCGCAAAATGCTTTTTTACGAAAATTGAGTTTAAATGTTGTTCAACAATCTGAAAATTTAGCTCAAAAACCTCAAATAATTAGTATTTGGAAGTTGAAACTTTGCGATTACAATTTGTTTATAAAGATCTGCAGATCAAATACATGTAAAATGCAGACTCAGTCGTCCAATTAAATTCATACTTTTGATTTTTCGGTTTTACAAACATTTATCTGTTATCTGTTAGCTGTAAGTGAGCGAAGAAAAGTAGCACAAGTCAGAGATAATCATCTTAAGAGCACTTTACGATAGAGTTAAGAAGCTTCTGGAAACTTGCCAAACTTCATCGTTTGCTTAAACAGGCTTTATTTAAAAGCCAGCATATTTCTGCATATTCTAATGCAGCTGATTGTACTATATTCTTTATATGGGTAATTTTTTGGAATTGCTAACTAAGTTGGAACTTTAAGTGGACTTTTGTCTTTCTCAGATCAATTTCATGTGATGCCCTGTAATATGCCGAAACTACCAAAATGTGAATGTTCCGGCGGGATCAGCAATATTCTAAAGGATGAGAGTGGCACTTGGTGCACCAAGTACACGAAAGGGGAGGAACAAATGCGATGGCCATGCGAAAACGCCCAAGAATGGGACGATTTTTTCCAGAAAAATCCCAATTTGCTTTAAATGCATGACTGGAAGGGTTTTACTATTTCTTTACTGTATGGAAGCCTTGAGGTGACATGTTTTGAACCGTTTGGTTCAAAATTAACAAAGTAATTTGACTGTATGTTTGTGTTGATTGAGTAGAACAGAGGACATCATTATTTGAAAAAAAAAGGATTTAGTTGTCTAATCAAAGGCTTGTTAAATACATGTTTGTGTTCGAATTGTCGCTTTAAAAGTTTCGAAAAACCCTGTGAGTTTAGTAAATTGCATTATTTAAATCAAACATCCAACTATAATTATACACATTGATCTAATACTAATGGAGGAACATTATAATTATTTGACCAATGATAATAATAATTAAACCAGATCAGTGTTCCGTGTTTCGAATAAATACAATTCAGTAATGTAAATATTAATTATATTCAATGTAATAACAAACGGAATTAATTGGCCCGTTATTTATTCAATTTATGCTGATGGGCCCATTGTCTTTATTTTCAATGTTATTGTGTCAAATTTGATATTTTTACCGATTTCGTATCGAACATAATGGCGCAATAAATAAAATTGCTGCATTTTGCTTTTCTCCGTAAAAAAATATATTTTAGTTATTTGTTATATTGATTAAAGTAATGAAAAAATCCAAACTTAAAACGCTTTAATATTTACCACATCTTTTGTCTTAGTGTTAATGTCTCATCTTAGTCAAGTTATATCATTATTAGTTTCGAATGATGTTTGAAACTAATAAAATAAAGTAATAATCTAAAATGACTTATACATTGCCAGAAGCACGCTTTTTCCAGCTTGTTAGCAGTTCTAATTCCTTTTCCCTTTACAATTCCTAACATTACTGTGCAAACTTTAGTTGAGTGTAGTAGCAACCTAAATGTGTGGACTTCGATGGCACTCACTAAGACTGTTTTGTTTGTTTAGTAACTTTATGGACGGAAACTAAAGGCTACATTCAATATAGATTTGCTGAGCTCCCATGTTTGGGAACATAATTTATTATTTACAACATTATTTGAAGTTTAAAAGCCCACAGGTGGAATCAACTGGAAAATTTATTTTTGCATCAGCAAAGGATCATTTACTGACTTTCCTGAACAGAAACGTTTGAAATGTTGTGATTGGCAAGAGAACAACGACTGTATTCAATATTATGAAAAATAGTCCCCGTTTTTGAGCAGAATAGAACATGTTTCATAAAATCTAATCCATTCAATCGAGCACTCAGTGTCTTTATGCAGGCATTACCAACCCCAGCAAAGACCGTTTTTTCCTCCCTTTGCATACTTCATATCGGTCGTCGCTAAAAAACAATGGTTATGACGGGTATAAACTTGTTTACGACGTGCATTTTTATGTATATGTCGTTGTCCCCTAGCTTTTACTACGTAGAACGTCGAGCAAGACCAGGACCGAAAGTAAATTAGGGTTGGGTTATGCTGGCAGAGTGGAAACAAGTCACGTTTTTAAGACCTTATATTTTGTTAAGCTCTTTCGATTTATAGATTTGAGGATTCAGGCATTTCACAAAGGGTGTAAGAACCAATTTTGGCCTCAATCGTTGTTTACCCAACGAAAAATTACCATAATCAAATCGTCCCTGGGGAACCGTGTAGTTTGTTGGAGTTCTGAGCACTTTGAAATGTTCTGCTGACCGACAATTTGCTAGCTTTTATATTGTTACACGCTTTACTGTGCAGATTTGATACGAAATGAATACAAATGTGCGTTTTTATTTATTTTATTGGCGTTGGCGCAGTGGAGACATGAAAAAAACTTCGCCCAATGTGGCATTCACTTTTTCAAATAAATACCTTCAAAGTTTTCACACAGTTTTATGTGGTTTTTATTTGTCAGTTCTGAACTATTTCGCGGAGTAAATTCAACTTCGTCTTCATATTAAAAGCTTTATTTAACTTCCTTTGTTTCCTTTGGTTCTGTTATGTTAGTGTGTTTTCACTTCGATTTAGAACAGCTGCGTTTGCAATAGCTAGTTCAGTTTTTAGAAGTTGACCCAAACATATCATGCAATCCAATCTGTCCTGAAAAAACGACCCAAATTATTTGATAGTTATACAAGAGAGTGTGCTTTTCATTAACTGGAAAATATCTGAAAGGACCTAAAAGTAACCGAAAAAGGTAACCCGGTAAGGGAACAGTAAGCAAAATTATGTAAAAAATACGAACATTAATTTACTGAGAGCAGAAATCCAGTTTAGTGTTTCTTCTTCCCTGTTTGTCCCTAAAGACTTTTCTTAAACTACTCCAGAGGCCTGACCCAAATATTGAATTAACTTGAATGGCTCGATAATGATACTGGTCATGTCGATTCAAAACGGTCATGTCGATTCGAAAATCGTAGATTCTAATGATTAAAATATAAAAAAGTTGCAAAAAAATTGCTGAAATTTTTAACAGACTTTAAATTTATCACACGATTTAATTAGCTGACTAAAAGCAAATCGTAACTTTAATTAACTCGGCACACACTTGAATTGTATACTTCACATGTCACTTTTGTGCTTTGAACTATCTGAAAAAAGTATCGTTTTGCAACTTGCCATCACCTACGCGGCCGGTTTCCATTTATCCTATAATCTCTTTCGTTTTTGCTTAAATCCTAATTACATGTTAGAAGTGTTTACCATGGGAGTTGCGTTCCATTTATTTTTCATTAACGCGAATAATGAAACTTATTTGCAATTAGTGCGCTTTTAATTAAAAAGGGCGAATTAGGTAGCAGCTTAAGGGATTAAGTGAAGAGTTGGTAATTTTACATGCGTTACATTTCAAGGGTTTTAACAGCTAGTAGTGGCAAACCAAGTAAAATATTGTGGCTATATGAAACGTTTTGTATTTATATAGTAATATGTGAATTCAAAATTGCTGTTTTAATAAATAAAGTAGGATGGTTTGATTCATTCAATCATGAAATAACTTCTCTTGATTCGGTCTGTTTCAATCTCATTTTGCTATATATTTCTAGATTAATATTTACTTATGATTGTGTTTTAAATCTGCTTAATTAATTTTGTGTGAAGATTATACAATTTAGTTTAGTTAGTTCTAGCAAATAATATGTAAATACTGAAGATGAAACATCCAAGATGATATTCGACATACTAGATTTCGATAAAGTAATAGAATTGCTGTGCAAGGTGCAGTCGATTCTGCATCAGCTTCGCCGATGTAAAACGATATTAAATGGAATGTGATTTAGCAAACATCAAGCCAAATTGAAAAATGTCAGTTTCAAATTGAAAATTTACCC